ATCCCCCCCCCCAGGATCTCTCTGCAGGCCCCCTAAAGGCTATTCATGCCTTTTTTGGGGGGGGAAAGAGGCCCGTTTTTGCAAAAAAGGGGCATTTTGGGGAGGTTTGCAGGGTACAAAAATCTTTTTTAAAAAATTTGCCTCTTCAAAATCTTGATTCATCTTATACTCCGGTGTGTCTTATACTCCGAAAAATATGGTAAACCCCTGTATTTTAAAGTAAGAATTATTGTTTGTGTTGCTGTCTTTTGTTCCTTTCAATGGTTTTTCCCCACAACAGGAACATATTCATCAAGGTTGTAAGCACGATTTCTTGGCTCTTCCCCAGTCCATTTCACTTTCATTATATTTAGATCTGTGACAAAAGTGTATTCACCTGCTTAATGGCCTCCACCATAGTGACCGTCTTGCCAGTACCGGGAGGCCCAAATATAAGATATGGGGCTGGTCTGGAAGTCCCTGCCACTACTTGACGGACAGCTTCCTTCTGTTCCTCATTCTTGTTCAGATCAGAATTATATAGGCTGGATGGTACAGGCAGAGAAAAGAAAGAAAACGTAACAAAGCCCTAGCCAAAGAGCCAAATAACACCTGGTTATTCTTATTTACAAATAGGCCTATGTCAACTATGGTAATTGGGATGTAATTTCCATCACTAAGCGATGCAGTTGCAAAGTGCAATGTCATGTGACTTGCATTTCTTAGTGATAGCTGATCCATCACTGTGAATCAAGAGTCAAGGACCTACTCAAAACTTCCTGCCAGCCAGCAAAATCATTGGGAAAGCTAGCAGCAAGTTGTCAGACCCAGGTAGCTTACAAGGAGACAGGTTGGCCAGCAGGTAAAGAGCTGCTGATGCGCAATCTTAGCCAGCCAAGCCAGAAATGGCTGCTGCCAGAGGAGAAGTGTGAATAAGCTGTCTTGAACTCTACCACCTCCACTTGCCCACTATCCCCCTCCACCCACAGCCTGACCCTTCTGGAGGTAGCTGTTGGCAACTTTGAGAAGGTATGAATTTAGGGAGAAGGCCTCATGTGGCAGCTGCCAAATGAAGAACTGGAGCTGGGCTGGCTCTGCCTTGGCAGCAGATGGAGGAAGTAGATTAAGGTCAGATGGGTGCAGCTGGGTGGTAGAATGCACCGCATCCAAAATGGCAAAAAATGGGAGGGGGAAATACAGGGGAGTAATTTAAGTTCTCCTGCAATCATAAATGCAGGCCGGCTGCCAAACACCTGAATTTTCATCACATGGCCATGGGGACACTGCAACAGCCATAGCTTCAAGGAACAAGCATACGTACCATTCATTCAGTGCTGTCGTAGCAGCTGTTGAATAAAAGGCTGTTAAGTACTATCTGCATTGTACTGCAAGTCAGTATCTATTTTTTTACAATTATGACAGAGTATCATAAGTTAGGTCCCTAACTATCTTTCCAATGGGCAAATGAAGTTTCACTTATTACATGTGAAGTCGTATATAATGGGGCAAAAAATCCTGCTTTTATATTAAAGCCAATGGGATCTGAGCTAGTAGTAAGTGATGAAGTGTATCAACTTTGCAACCTAAGAGTATCTTAGGTTGTAAAGGCAGGGAAAATATTGTCCAATATATGACTGCTTTGTAAAATTTTGTAAATTCCATATTTGTAGATTCCATATTGACAAAGAAACAGAGAACAAGCAACATCACAATGCATTTGCAGAAATTTATGAAGTAATCACTGCTGAAACTCCATGTACAATAAAGCAGTCTAATAACCACACTTCAAAAAATGTTACGGAACAAAGCCCTGGCTTTGTTAAGGTGAAGCAATTCCCCTAATATCACTGTGATTTTTAATTTGGAAAAAGACAGAAGTTACTGGGGTCAGGAGGGAAGAGAAATATATAAGCTCATAAAATTATGAGTAAGGTCAGAAAAGCAAATTTTCCCTCATTCAAAATATTAGAATTCAGAGTTATCCAATAAAGTTGATATTTAGAATGGATAAAAGTAAATATTTCTGCTTGTTACATTATTCAGCTAAAAACATTGCTTCCATAAGTTTCATGATATACCACAAGTTCTAAAAGGAATTTCACAAGGCTATCAAAGAGATGATCACCAATTACAAACAGTGACAACTGTTTGTAGTTGGTGAACCATCTGCTATTGAACATAAGTGAAAGCTTTTTCTCAGCTTACCACAGACATTTGGCTAGTTGTGGCAAGAGAAAACTGGACTATTTGACTAGTTCATTCAGCAGTGTTCTGGTGTTCCCCTTGTCTACTGGCATTCTCTCCCTCCTTTCCTGTCCCTACTCACCAGAGTTCCTGATGAGTAGGCAGGAGGGATTCCTTGTAAGAGAAGTATGGGAAGATCAGATGGGACAGTTTCTTCTTCTGGACAAGTGTAACAGCCCGATGCTGAAGGCGCAAGGGCAGACGATTGAAAGTAAATTCCACATCAAACTTCATGTTATCGACAAATTTATTTAGTAATCTAGGAAAAGAAAAGGAGGCTGATGGATGATAGAATAACATGACATTGCTAGTCTAAGGCTAAACATTCAGCACTCAATCCATACCATCATTTTGACTCCCAGCTGGTTGGTTTTTTCTCCCTGGTCTGCTTATTCCAACCTCATGGCCACCTTTCCCAAATCTGGAGCCTCGTAATTTTCTTCCACATGATCACACTTGTTGGTTTTTCCTTGGCATTGTCCATCTTTCAAAATAATCTTGACCTAAGGTAATTTGCTTCCCAGCTGCACTTCTCAAACTGCTGAGCTCTCTATTCCACACATACACTATATTGCCAAAAGTATTTGCTCACTTGCCTTTACTTGCATATGAACTTATATTGGCTCCCAATAGATGTTCAGGTACAATTCAAGTTTCCTGGTTATTGCCTTTAAAGCTTTAGATACCATAGAACCGAGTTACTTGCAGGAATACCTGCTCCCCTCAACCTCTGCCTGCCCCATGCATTCCCATATGGACATGCTGCATGCTCCATATTTCTGCTGACTGATGTCTAATGGATGTTGTTACAAATTCTCTACCCAATACTCATATTAATACAGAACAGATAAATGAAAATCAGTCTGATAAAATCCAGACTAACTATAATTAGCACAAAGANAAAATATGCGATTTGATATGAATTGCAAGTGATGACTATGGAAGGGATGCACAGAAATTTTGTAAACAACTGACACACTTGCTATAATTTGTAGTGGAAGATGCTTTTATCTTTTTTGTTTGGTCTGTTTGTGCTTTTCAAAAATAAAAAAAATGTTATAAAAACATCTGGTGAATATTAACCCCCGCTAATCACTTAATTCTTGTGCTTATTTCAGAGATCAGTGGATCATTTCTTTAAAAATATGTACTGAGAACAGGTGGCTATAAAAAGTTAATTTTATCCCTTCTAATTATATTTTTCACCTTCAGAAAGTGAATGAAATTTTTGAAAATAAATAAATAAATTTGAATTTCTAGTAATAGAGTAAATTTTCAAAATTGATTTTTTATAAATGACTAACTTCTTCCAAATCATTATGTCTCTCCATAATAATTTCATAATCTTATTCCCACTCATCTTCAGTAATTATTTTACATGTGCCCTACCTTCCTGCTGTCACCAGAGTGGTGATAATGACCTGGTAGCTTTGCAGTTTTTCCCTTTTTGGAAACACAGGGCAATTCTCCGCGTTATCCCAGTTACACACGGGCTAGGAACAAAAGCAGGGATTAAATAACATCCAAGAATGGAGATCTATTCTTTTTCTCAACTCAAAATTTTACATGGCAGACATATGAGAATGCTACCAGCTGTTAGCCTGGAAGATCTTAGTCAGAACAGAATGACTAGCTTGGAGAGAGAAAACTAGAATACACCTTGATATCCTCGGGGATTGTACGGTAATCCCTACTGCTAGCATTCATCCTGTAGATATTCCTTTTATCCACATGTTTCATAAGGTGTTGGCAGAGCAGGTCTGAGGCACTGTTGGAAGGAGCACAAGCAAGCACATGGGCACCCTTAATGCATCGCAGAACCTGAGAAGAATGAGAGCACAAATAAGAGGTTTTTAATTTTTAAAAAAAGAATACTTTTTATTTATACTTCAAGCCATGAAAGAAGCTGGTGGTGCAAAATAGAACTGGATCTCCACAAGATTCTTGGTTTAGAAATGTGGGAAATGAAAATATAGCGTAGTGATCTATTAGATTTAATAGGGCCTAAGTGGACGATAACAGGCCCGGGATAGAAACAGGAACCAAAGTCTTCAGCTAGGATGATTTCATAATGTAAAAGAATTAACTGTAATTTGTAATTTGCTAAGCAGTTGCAATATGTGTAATATGATATTGCAAAGTAGTTTATGGTTTTTGCAAAACGGGCTGGTTTTTGCTCGTTTTTTGGGGACATCCCCCCCCCCAGGATCTCTCTGCAGGCCTCCTAAAGGCTATTCATGCCTTTTTGGGGGGGGGAAAGAGGCCCGTTTTTGCAAAAAAGGGGCATTTTGG